TCATAAGAGACCCCACAATACCTACTGTTGTTGAAAGAGACCCCACAATACCTACTGTTGTCATAAGAGACCCCACAATACCTACTGTTGTTGAAAGAGACACCACAATACCTTCTGTTGTTGAAAGAGACCCCACAATACCTACTGTTGTCATAAGAGACCCCACAATACCTTCTGTTGTCATAAGAGACCCCACAATACCTACTGTTGTCATAAGAGACCCCACAATACCGTCTGTTGTTGAAAGAGACCCAACAATACCGACTGTTGTCATAAGAGACACCACAATACCTACTGTTGTTGAAAGAGACCCCACAATATCTTCTGTTGTTGAAAGAGACCCCACAATACCTACTGTTGTCATAAGAGACCCCACAATACCTACTGTTGTTGAAAGAGACCCCACAATACCTACTGTTGTCATAAGAGACCCCACAATACCTACTGTTGTTGAAAGAGACACCACAATACCTTCTGTTGTTGAAAGAGACCCCACAATACCTACTGTTGTCATAAGAGACCCCACAATACCTTCTGTTGTCATAAGAGACCCCACAATACCTACTGTTGTCATAAGAGACCCCACAATACCGTCTGTTGTTGAAAGAGACCCAACAATACCGACTGTTGTCATAAGAGACACCACAATACCGTCTGTTGTTGAAAGAGACCCAACAATACCTACTGTTGTTGAAAGAGACACCACAATACCTTCTGTTGTTGAAAGAGACCCAACAATACCGACTGTTGTCATAAGAGACCCCACAATACCTTCTGTTGTCATAAGAGACCCCACAATACCTACTGTTGTTGAAAGAGACCCAACAATACCGACTGTTGTCATAAGAGACACCACAATACCGTCTGTTGTTGAAAGAGACCCAACAATACCGACTGTTGTCATAAGAGACACCACAATACCGTCTGTTGTCATAAGAGACCCCACAATACCGTCTGTTGTTGAAAGAGACCCCACAATACCGACTGTTGTTGAAAGAGACCCCACAATACCGACTGTTGTCATAAGAGACCCCACAATACCGTCTGTTGTTGAAAGAGACCCCACAATACCTACTGTTGTCATAAGAGACCCCACAATAAGAGGTTTCAAGTATCATGTCTCACTGTAAGAGGACTCCTGTATGCTAATTGGGCGTATTCAATACGGTCCACTGCATCGCTCACGATCACATAAACCCCAATAGGTAATATTTGTACGAGTGGTGTGAGGTCAGGAATCAAGAGAGTAGGTCGGCTGTCTGAGCAGTTATTCCACTGATCCCATTACACCGAGTACATCCGTTAATATAATGTAATACCCGCCACTAGCATTCACTCAACTCTCAGTCAAGTACAAGTGCTAAATCCTTCAAGCAACAGACATTTTCTACTCTTGTGACAACTCCATCTCTGAACAAGTGCTTAAATGGGGATTTGAATATAACCTTAGGGATTCAGGGACTGACACACATACAAAGTCAGTCAAGTAGATGTAAATTCAGGATCTTCAGCAAAATGACCACGTTAACATGAAAGCTTCATTAGCAATGATTAGCCTCGGGGACTTAGCCACGATTCAACCAAGTGCCCTTAGCGGGGAAATTGGGAAAAAAATGTTATTTAGTTCAAAACTGTTATTTTTTCTTGATTTCATATTTTCTTCATTTCAGAGGTAGACTAATGTTGTAATCAATGCAATAATGTAATATTAATCCACTTCCTCTTTAATGGTCCTGTTTTCAGTGTAGGTCATCTTGACCAAGCCATCACATAAGATATAAATTGAGAACTGTTTTTTTATTCCCAATGGGGAACTGACATTTGCTGCAGACATGGATCCGAATATGTTCCACTGATGAATTGATTGATTGATGGTTTGTTGTTTACGGCCGCACTCAGCAATATTACAGCTATATGACGGCGGTCTGTAAATAATCGAGTCTGGACCAGACAATTCAGTGATTGACATCATGAGCATCCATCCACGTAATTGAGATACGATGACATGCATCAACCAAGTCAGCGAGCCTGACCACCTGATCACGTTAGTCGCCTCTTAAGACAAGCATAGTCGCCTTTATGACAAGCATGGGTTGCTGAAGACCAATTTTAAGCCCGATCCTCATGGGTCTGACTCTCGTGAACAAACAGCCTATTTTAAACTGACTCATGACTCATGAGCCTACTAATTTTCCATCAGGCCAGTAACCTTCTGTACTTGGACAAAGTTCTGGCAATAACTTCTCATTATGTAATACATAAATATCTGGCTTCATGTTAACTGGAAATAACCAACGTATCGGCACGTAGGCTGATAATGCATGTGGAAAACATCAGATATGACATACCATACTCGAAGTAATAAGCACCCAGGGTGCTCACAAAATTTGAAATAGGGGGCTCTTATTAGAATATAATTTTGAGTTAAAAGATTGTAAATTTTGTGGTTTATGCTGACCGGCTGAATTGATACAAAAGAAGAATCTATTATACACACGGATATGTTTTCCAGAATTTAATTGCCCATAATTAAGGGTACACATAACACACAAGTGCGTCTTATACATGAATAAATAAGTCTTGTGTACATTGATCAATTGGAAGGGGTGCTAAAAGGGATTGTTCACTAGCCAATATATCAGCAAATATCGCCGTGGGTGTTTATTAGAGCAGAGCGCTTATTACGTCGAATATGGTAAGTGATGAGGTGAATAATGGGGAAGGTGAGTAGTAACCAAGGTAACATCACAGTGACGGTCAGCTACCTTGACCTGGGGTGTGAACTGCTGTGTAGCGTGAAGTGATACATGGCCTGGAGTTGATAAACCATTGCACAGCCAGTGAATGCAATAACCTCATCAGAACCAGGGGACCTCTTACGTCCACATGGGACACAGGGGGCCTTTTACAATCACACAGATACAGGGGGCATTGTACAACATAGCATACAGGGGATCTCTTACGTCCACATGGGACACAGGGGCCCGTTTACAATCACACAGATACAGGGGGCATTGTACAACATAGCATACAGGGGACCTCTTATGATTACATAACATACTGGGACCTTGTAGGTCAGTCGGACCTATTATGATTACATACGACAAAGGGGATGTCTTACGATCACATGGGATACAGGGTACATCCAGTGTTCGAAATACCTGCCTGCCCGACCGTCCGAGACGGGTTGATTTCAACTCGGGCTGCCAGATTTTCAAATCCCCCTGCCCGACGGTCGGGTTATATTTCATATGTGAAAATATTCTAAATATTTCCCAATGATAAGCATTAATTCACATGTAAAGATGAATGATAAAATGTAACCAAAAAGAAACCCCGTTAGCTTATCCTGAGAAACATATGATTATAGTGGGCAGGCAGGTTTTGGTCAGGGCTGGCAAGTATTTCAGCTAGCCAGTCCTGTGGTCTGGCTGAAATTTTGGGTAGTTTCATACCCTGGTACATCGTACGATCACATAGGAGAAAAGGGACCTCTTACGATCACATAGGAGACAGGTGACGTCATAGGATCACATGGGAGACAGGGGACATCCTACGATCACATAGGAGACAGGGACCTCTTACGATCACATCGGAGACAGGGAACATATTACGATCACATCAGAGACAGGGGACGTCTTAGGATCACATCGGAGACAGGGGACGTCTTACGATCACATAGGAGACAAGGGACCCCTAACGATCACATAGGAGACAGGTGACATCTTACGACCACATCGGAGATAGGGGACATCTTATGATCACATAGGTGACAGGTGACGGTGCAGGATCACATGGGTGACAGGGGACGTCTTACGATCACATAGGAGACAAGGGACCTCTAACGATCACATAGGAGACAGGTGACATCTTACGATCACATAGGAGACAGGGACCTCTTACGATCACATCGGAGACAGGGAACATATTACGATCACATCAGAGACAGGGGACGTCTTAGGATCACATCGGAGACAGGTGACATCTTACGACCACATCGGAGATAGGGGACATCTTATGATCACATAGGTGACAGGTGACGGTGCAGGATCACATGGGAGACAGGGGTCCTCTTACGATCACATAGGAGACAGATGATGTCGTAGGATCACATGGGAGACAGGGGACGTCTTATGATTACTGAGGACTGCTTAAGTAAAACATTTCGAGGAATATCACGTCAGTCTTTAATTATTTGAGTCTGGGGTAGGTAAACCACAGGTTCACTATATGAGCAACATTCCATACGACCAAGTTATGATGACACACAAAACAGGCAGGAACCTGTCTACCTGACCTCTTACAACGAAAGAGTTACTTTTGTTTGTTTGTTTGTTGTTTAAAACCGCACTGAGCAAAATTCCAGCTACATGACAGCATTATGTAACTAATCAAGTTTGGACCAGACTATCCAGTGATTGACATCATGAGCATCAATCTACGCAAATTGGGATACGATGACAAGCATCAACCAAGTCAGCGAGCCTGACCACACTGATCCCGTTAGTCGCCTCGTACGACAAGCATAGTCGCCTTTATGACAAGCATGGGTTGCTGAAGACCTATTCTAACCTGGATCTTCACTAGCGTGAAGGGTTGGGATTCTTACAACCACACGAGAAACTTGGGATCCCTTCCGATCATCACATGACAATATTGGGGCAAACACAATGGTTGTCATAAGACTTGAGAATCAAGGTTGGTTGGTTGGTTGGTTGGTTTATTGTTTAACATCGCACTCAGCAATATTCCAGCTATATGACGGCGGTCTGTAAATAATCGAGTCTGGACCAGACAATCCAGTGATTAATATCACGAGCATCGATCCACACAATTGGGATCGATGACATGCATCAACCAAGTCAGGGAGCCTGACCACCCGATCCCGTTAGTCGCCTCTTACGACAAGCATAGTCACCTTTTACGGCAAGCATGGGTTGCTGAAGACCTATTCTACCCCGGAATCTTCACGGGTCTGAGAATCAAGCAGCAGTGCTCACCTTTGATATGAGTTCATCATGGTTTGCTAGGTGCGCCCTGCAGTGGACACAGCTGTATGTGCGGTGACACTTGCTGGGAAGATAGGCTTGGAACGTCTTCACCATCCTGCCTCGAGCTGACAGACATGGACCCTGGCTGTGCAGCAGGGGAGTTAGGAGGAGGGCCAGTCTGCTAGTCGTGGGGGGGCAGGGGGGCCAGTCTGATTGTCAGCGCAACCACTCACACCACAGGGAGGCAGATTCACCAAGACAGAGGGAAGAAATTCGGAACCGATGGATGAGGTTCTTCTGTCTCTAGACCTATGCTGGTGATGCTGGATTTGGGCCTCACGATGGTGAGCTTGATCCTGGAGATGTATCTTGCTGCGGACTAGGCCACTGACGACTCTGTTTGGGCTGTGAATTCACAGTCACTGGGATTGTTAGATGGACAATTGTTGGTCTCTTGTACACATCAGAAGAATGTTTTCAGTTTGGAATCATTGGGCAGCCGTACCTGAAAGACAAAAAAACATCCCTTGTTAGAATGTTTGAAGTAGGGATGAAAATATGAAGTTAACATCATGGACATTGTATAATAACATCAATAAACAATGCATCAGCCATAGCTTTGAAAATAACGGGTTTAGATCTGGCACAAACAAACCAAACAAAACAGAAAAAACTCATTTCGACAAAGGGCAAGGAAGAATTTATCAAAACAAGATTTTAAACCCCAAACTGGCTTTTCCAGCTTGTCATAATATAGCCATCACCCAAGGACCCACCCTTCCACCCCGATGTAACCATGGTAACATGGGTTACAGGGGGGACTGTCAGCCCAGTTGTATAAGTTCCTGCAATTTCGCTCTGCAGAGTTGTGTCCCTTTGGCATGTCAGAAACTTGGTGTTTCTTGGTATGGTACTTTTCGGTTTGTTGGCAACAAAGGTTTCAGTGAAGTGATAAACTTCAACCTGTGTCATGAGAGGCCTTCCTCCCACATCAACTTGATAAAGCTAATAAATTGTATGAAACCATTCCAAGCCACTTTAAACCAAGCTCACTGGTGTTACATGTATCAATACAGGTCTATGGGACTTAGTGACCGCCTCCGTGGTCTAGTGGTAAAGCATCCGCCCGGAGAGTGGAAGGTCCAGTGTTCGATCCCCGTCAGCGTCATACCAAAAGACGTTAAAAGATGGTACTTATTGATACCCTGTCTGGCAATCAGCATAAAGGGGCTAAAACAAGGACTGGTCGGCTCGGAGACAGTATACTGTGTCTGAGTGGGGTATCATGCTTTACTGCGGCATGGTATCTCAGTGTGCTAGCTGTATAAATCGGCATTAGTCCGGACTAGTACAAGCAGCCACACACACACGTGCATGCTCGTCGCTATATAAGTGCAATAACCTTGGACGCGACTTTCAACCCAATTTCACCTCACCTATGTGACTTTGTGAGCTGAAAGGTCCCCTAAGTATGCTAAGAGTATGCACTGCTATTGACACATCAATGGCCGACTTGCCGGACTCTTAATGTGAGATCACTGGACAAACAAAACAAACCGCTTCAGTTGCCAGTCCTTATAACAAGAATTAAATATAACTTTGAAAAAGTGTAAACATCAATCAATGACCAATCAAACGGACAGCAATAGTGTTTACTTCCTTGTTATGATTTGGATCACACTTTAGAACCGCTCTCTGATTGGTTGACCAGAGTACCATGTAGCCAATAGTGCACCATCCAGAAGGAAGTCATGGCAGGTTGCACTGGTTGCCCCAAAGGTATGGGTTCCTTTCATTACGGATCAATAGTCAAAGTCAAAAATAGTTAACTTGTGTGTAGGCCATTGGCCCACATACAAGAAATGCAATGCCAATAATACAATGTCAAGCGCATTACATGGATTTTACGACTTCATGTCTTTTTTTGTATGCATAATATACATAATATTGCAGACGTTTTAATAACTTATCCGGAGTTGTACACAATAAACTTTTGAATTTATATATAGTTGGAAATTTCCAATACAATTCTGGCAAATAAACTTTACGCAGCTCAGCATAATGTTTACCGATCAATACGAAATGATTTTCATCTTCAACAGACATATTGCAAACAGGACACATGCGTAAACATGATTCAATAGATTGCCACGTTCTGTCGTAAAGGTAAAACATTACATCTTAATTTAATAAAACACTGCGTACATGTTAGCTATATATGTTTTGTATATCTTTCAGGTTCAAACAGTGTCTTATATTCTTTATACATTACATATCGGGTACTACTTGAGTGTTGACATCCAGTTTTCATCTACAATTGTCCCCAACAGACTGGTTTAACCATACAAATCCCAAACCATGCGAAAATAAAATGTTACGAACAGATGCTACCCAGGTATTATGACCCATGTTGTAGAAATACATCAACATGTTATATACTTTTCTTGGGATACGCCCTTCATGCATTCTGGTTATTTATAACCAATACTTTATAATGTCGTTACATCAAATTTAGTTACTCGATCCCAATATCTTGATGGGCCGGTCAGCCAATCTGTATGGGTTTTACAAAGACCGTGATTAACCAGTCAGAGAGTAGGATTTTATGACAAGAAATAATATCATGTATTCCCGGGATTCCAAATTTCACAAGCCAACACACATCAGTGACCTTGATAACCCTCCTACCCAGAGTTCCTTGGGGTCAACCTAGTGCCTCCGCCAAAGGCTAGTGATTCGTCACATCTTACACAGTCCATTAAACACATAACACGTTTTTCATCGATTTCATTTCTGAAAAGTCTACACAATAAGATACACATATGTCACAAAATGGTCAACTTTCATCGAGAAAATATCCTAAAAAAAGGGAAAACTATTTCGAATTGCATATTTATCCTTTGTTTACATTGGTGTCGTCAAGCCACTTTGATGTATAAAGTGCATTGTCATGCTCACATGTGTATAAGTACAATGGTTTCAATCACATGCAGCCGGATACAATGAACATAACTGTTTTACAAATACACACACTTGTACTTCGACTTGGAATTAAATCTCATCAGTTTATTTGTAACTTTATTTGCTTTAACACGCTTTTAGGGGGAAGTTCTTCATGCATTTTTGGGAGCCATGGTTTACCCCGCGGTGCATCCGGAGTAGCAGTACATCGAGGAGCGTTATGTCGAGGGACCACTGTATATAGAATAAAATTATGCACAACAATATGCAAAACGCACTGAACGGCTTCCAAAGGCCAGTCTGCTCTGATTTCAGAATAAGCGTGTTTGTTTACAAACAAGATAAAAGTCCAGCCATGTGATATGCAAATTTTCCAGTGACAGTGGTGCAATACTATGTCATCACTGCAGTGGAGTGTGTGACGCTGACCCAGCTACCTGTGGGGATTCAGAGTGAGTGAGTGAGTGAGTGAGTGAGTGAGTGAGTGAGTGAGTGAGTGAGTGAGTGAGTGAGTGAGTGAGTGAGTGAGTGAGTGAGTGAGTGAGTGAGTGAGTATGGTTTTACGCCGCTTTTAGCAATATTCCAGCAATATCACGGCGGGGGACACCAGAAATGGGCTTCACACATTGTACCCATGTCGGGATTCGAACCCGGGTCTTCGGCGTGAGAGTGAACGCTTTAACCACTAGGCTACCCGACCGCCCCAATTCCGGGTCAGAATACAGGTCCCCAGCAACCTCTGCTGGTCGTTGTGCCCACATGGATCAGGTGGTCAGTCTCAGGACTTGGTGGATTGCATGGCATCGTATCATGATGACGTGGATTGTTGCTCATAATATCAATCACTGGATTGTCTGGCCCAGACTCGATTACTCACTGGCTACCATTACACATCTTCCAAGAGAGTTAACTGACTACGTAAGTCCAGTTTCCACCCTTGCCGAACAAGGCTGGTATTATGGAGTTACATTTTAGCTGGACTAACAAATCTATGCATAGTCCAATCACAATCACATAACTAAGTCGACATCTACTTTGTGCATCCTGCAGTGCAGATTTCGGTTGATTGCAGAACTTGCAAAACATGTGTACCGCCAACTCGGCATGAACAGATATTTTACAAATCTGTTCATGTTTTTAATCAAAGTGCTCATGTGATTTGATCCACTTCAGACCTGTTTTATTACATAATAGATTTTGATTATCAATCCGATCGTCTTGACTGGGCGCCGCCATTTTGTTTGAAGCAAGTGCACGTGGTATGAGAGGTGGAATCAGATTGGTCTATAGGAGGGCTATAGGAGGGCCATAACTGGTAATAGCCACTGGTGGCGCTCAGTAACAATCAAGCCCAGAAATTCCAGCCTAGTTCGGCAAGGGTGGAAACAGGACTTTTAAAGTCAGTTAACTCCCTTGCCTTGAGGAGATGACTGTTACATAACCGCAGTATTGTTGACTGTGGCTTAAAACAACATTCACTTACTCACACAAAACCAGTCTGACTCCACCATACAAAGTTGTCGGTATGAGAGGGGTGTACGATTGATGTATCAAAGAATTACAAATTAACACCTGACGATACAAGATAATATCAGTTATTTACAGGCTGCCATGGTGTTGCTGAGATATTGCTGAGCTCGCATAAAACAGCACTCACTCACAGCCCCATCAACTCCCTGAACAGAGCAACAATAGCCATTGATAATTACATAGAACAATATATAAATATCACCCGGATTTTACAATAAACATGATTTACAATGCACACCACCTTCAAGCATATTTATCACTCTTTGTTCTCTCGGCATGCCGAGGACCCAGGTTTGATTCCCGACATGGGTTCAATTTGTGAAGCCCATTTCTGGTGTCCCCCACTGTGATATTGCTGGAATATTGCTAAAAGCAGCGCAAAACCAACTCACTCACTCACTCTTTGTTTGGTTGTTTGTCGTTTAACTGCCACACTTAGAAATATTCCAGCTATATGACAGCTGTCTGTAAATACCCAAGTCTGGACCAGACAATCCAGTGATTGATATCATGAGCAATGATCTAAGCAATTGGGATACGATGATAAGCATCAACTAAGTCAGCGAGCCTGACCACCCGATCCCGATAGTTGTCTCTTACGACAAGCATGGGCTGCTGCAGACCAGTTCTAACCCAGATCTTCAAGGGTCATTAATCTCTCTAATCATCCTAATCAACATCACAAAACATTCACTCACACATGAACGGGCTGAACATGGCACTGATAACTTCACACCAAAATATACACATATCAACTTGATTCTACAACAGTGAACCATTTGACAATGCAAGTTACCTCAATACATGTTTACCATATCCCTAATAAACCCCCTCATCCTCCCCCCCATCCCACAGACACACACCACCCCAATCCCCGCTCCACAACACTCTAAACACTAATAGTACCTCACAACAACTCCACTGCTGAGTCAATAATTAACAATTAGCTTGGACTTCAGCCAAATTTACCACTAACAAATCCAAGCAAATGCCATATTCAGGCTAGGAGAATCT